CTATCTATCTATCTATCTATCTATCTATCTATCTATCTATCTATCTATCTATCTATCTTTCTTTTCCAGAGTTATGCTGGAAAATACACACACAGACAGCCATATATATAAATGTGTGTGTGTGTGTGTGTGTGTGTGTATGTTCCAGCATAATTCTGGAACGCCTCGAGCAATTTCAACCAAACTTGGTACACAGATGACTTAACCTCTGGAAACAAATACTGTTGGGGGTAAGACACCCCTAAAACCCCTTGGGTTCTGTTACAATACAGCGTGTTGTGCCTTAAAATGGTTTCTACCGTACTGCCGAAAATGGCTTCTAATGTACAGCGCAGTGGTGTTGCCATGGAAACGGCTTCACAAGGGGGCTCTCTCTGTTAAGGGGGAAAATCCAACATTAGAAATTACGTTAGGTCCGGAGATTTCCCCCCCTATAAATAAATAGCTGGGCAATGCCGGGTTATCGGCTAGCAATTTATAAATCATAGATGATCACATATAAATTTTAAAATAATCCAGGATGTCTGTGGGTGGCGTTTTGCCTTCAATTTATTTTCCTGCGTTTATCAAATCTCTATAGCTGCCCATCTCATGGATCTGACTTTAGGTAGCATACAATTAAACCAACACTGTCAAAAAGAGAGGCTTAAATTTTCATTGTGTATTGGTCTTTGCATAGGCCTAAGATTTTCTCATGTGCAAATAGTTTCACTGGTGTGAAATTAACAACTTGGAAATGAAGGTCCAGCATATTTGCCAGAGGGTAAAACATTTACAATCCCTTAACGCAATGGCCTTTCTAAACAAGGCCATTAATAAACAAGAAATGCATTGTTTGTTTGTTTATTTTTAAATTTTGCCTCTCTTGCCGTTTCAGAAGGAAAAACCTGGCCAACTTGAGCGTGGATGAGTTTTTAACATCCGGGTTTGATTCTGATTTGGAAGATGATTTGATAGAAGATACTCCAAATTCTGGGGGAGAGGAGAAAAGGAAGTTGCCTTCAGAACTTGATAGCAAAAGGAAACCAGGATGTGATTTGGTGCCAGGGGAAAGGTGAGTTTTCATGATGATTGGTTGGTTGGTTGGTTGGAGGGATGGATAGATAGATGATGGATATAGGTAGCTAGATAATTATAGATGGAGGGATGAAGGATGGATGGAGGGATGAAGGGGTGAGAGGAAAAGAGGATGGATGAAGGATGGATAGATGGATGCATGGATGGATGGATGGATGAGAGGGATGAAGGATGGATGGATGGATGAAGGAAGGACTGAAGGATGGATGGATAGATGATGGATATAGGTAGCTGATTATGGATGGAGGGATGAAGGAGGGAGGAAAAGAGGAGGGATAGATGGGATAGAAGGAAGGAGGATGGATGGATAGATAATGGATATAGATAGATAGATAATTATGGATGGAGGGATGGATAGATAAATAGATGGTGGAGGGATGGGGTGAGAGGGAAAGATGAATATATAGATAGATGATGGATATAGGTAGCTAGATATTATGGATGGAAGGACAAATACGTTTGTTCTTCCTTGAAATTTTCCAAATTTTGGTATGGAGGGAGGGATAATAGATGGTTGGTTGGTTGGTTGGTTGGTTGGTTGGTTGGTTGGTTGGTTGGTTGGTAGAGAGAGAGAGAGAGAGAGAGATAGAGAGAGAGAGAGAGAGAGAGAGAGAGAGANATTCTGTGAGGGTCTCCTGCTTGGGCAGGGGGGGTCGGGCTAGATGACCTCCCAGATCCCCTCCCCAACTCTCGTCGTACTGCCAATTCCTTACACGCCGGTTGGCGGGCAGGGAAGCAAACGCGGCGGAGGCGGCTCTCCGCTCCCCTCCGCGCCGGTGAACCTGAAAGCCAATCCGGCCGGCTCGCCTGGGAACTCCACCCCCCCCTCCCAACGCCCTCCCCCTTTCTTGGCTACTCAGTTGCATTGTGGGAGAGGAAGTGCTCCGTTCCCACGTTGTCGCATCTGCGGAGGGGAAGCTCCGCCAGCATGGCCGCTGCCGCGAAAAGGTCAGGCGCGCTTGCGGGCATTGCAAAGCCAAGTCCCGGGGCTTGCAAAGAGGGATTGGAGGGGGGGGGGAATCCCTGTCGGGGGAGGGCAAACCCCGCAAACACGCGGGGATTAGGGACTTGGGTTGGTTTCCGACGTTGCTCCGCGCGCGTTCTGCGCCCGCTCCGTTGGCAAAGCAAAGGAAGAGTTGCATTGGGGTTGAGTGGCATTGCGTTGGGTGCAGGCCTTCAGGAGCGCATGGCAATGCCATGGCCCATCATCCCCACCCCCGCCCCCAGTGGGAAGCCGACTCCAAAGCGTGCAGACTCAGAGCCTGCAGGTCGTGTGAATGAAGGCACTCCAGACCTCTGGGGAATTGGAATTAGGCAAAAGGCGAGGAGTAGGGAATGGAGGAACACATGTGGCAATGCCATGGCCCATCATCCACCCCCCACCCCCAAGTGGGAAGCCTTAGGCATCCGACCCTAAAGCCTGCAGAGTGTGGTTGTGTGAATGAATGCATGTCAGACTCTGGGGATTGGTGCCACAAAGATGTGAGATTAGGGACTTGGGTTGGTTTCCAACGTTGCTCCGCGCGCGATCTGCGCCCACTCCGTTGCATTGGGGTTGCATGGCATTGCGTTGGGTGCAGGCCTTCAGGAGTGCACGGCAATGCCATGGCCCATCATCCCCACCCCGCCCCCAAGTGGGAAGCCGACTCCAAAGCCTGGTCGTACTCCAGACCTTGTGGTGAATTGGAATTAGGCAAAAGGCGAGGAGTAGGGAATGAAGGAACACATGTGGCAACGCCATGGCCCATCATCCCCTCCCCTCCCCCTTAGGCATCCAACCCCAAAGCCTGCAAGGAACGTGGTCGTGTGAATGAACGTACTCCAGACTGGGGATCGGTGTCGTGAGGGTGATGGACTTGAGGGGACAAACTTCCTAACAGGACAATTCACCAGTGGAACAGCTTGCCACCAGAAGTGGTGGCTGCTCCATCCCTGGAGGTTTTTAAGAAGAAACTAGACAGGCATTTATCTGAAACAGTATAGGTTCTCCTGCTTGAGCAGGGGGCTGGACTGGAGGACCTCCAAGATCCCTTCCGGCTCTATATTATTCTAATTGTTTTGAAAGGATGGATCTGGAGAAGGGTGGAGGGTGAGGCTGATGGGATTGGGTCGAGGTGGCTTTTCAAAATTCTATTATCAAATATAGCTGGACTACGGTTACCAAATTGCTTGATTTATTTTGTGTTTGAGAAGCCCTAAGCGCTGCCTTAGCTATGAAAACTCCCCCTCTCTCTTTGAGCCCAACCTACTCTACAGGGTTGTTGTCTTAGGGAAAACAGGAGGAAGAAGGTATGCTGGTTGTGTGTGCCAACTTGGGGTATTTGTCAAAATAATAAAGGTGGAATACAAACAAGGGATTTTTAGGAATATTGCCCCATTCATATGGTTTCTCCCTTACCTCAAATACAAAACTTTTTGCTAGATAATATTTCCATGTTGTTGTTGATAATTGTGAAGTTGTGTCTGACCCTTTGCGACTCCATGCACCACGTTCCTCCAGGCCTTCCTGTCCTCTCCCATCCTCTGGAGTCCATTTGACACCTACTGCTTCAGTGACTCCATCTATCCACCTCCTTCTCTGCCGTCCCCTTCTTCTTCTTTTGCCCTCCATCGTTCCCAGCATGAGGCTCTTCTCCAGGGAGTCCTTCTTCCTTCTCATTAAGTGGCCAAAGCATTTGAGTTTCCTCTTCAGAGATCTGGCCTTCTTAAGAGCAGCCAG